GCTAATATTTTTAACTAGACATTTTCATTTATCTCACAAATGTTAAGTTTTGTTTCTACATATATTCTAGTATATTCATTGATTTTCTAAAGTCATATTTTTCACAGTGAATGGTGGCTAACAGCCACTTGCCAAATAAGCTTTCACTCTGAAATATTAATCAGATACCTATTGTAAATTCTAATCTTGTTTAATATGCTCTATGGGAATTTTCTTATTTCAGAACACTTGAGTCCTTAATTACAAATGTAGTATAATATAATACAAATACCAAGTCTTATTTTCAATCAGGTAAATCAATTTAAGAAGCAACATAGAATAGTTATTCAGAACTTGACCTCTGTAGTCAGGCAGACCAAGGTTCCAAAGTCTGACTTGTTCAACTGTTTCTGTGACTGTGTGCTGTTTTTTTTAAGTCTTATTTAACGTTTCTAAGCCTTAATTTCCTCATTAGTTAAATGGAAATAACAATAACATGTGCTTTAGGGAAGAATTAAATAAGATATTCCATAAAAGAACACTTAATACTATGAACTTTGACAGTTTTCACCACTATTATTATTTGAGAATTTTAATTTTAGAAAGCAAAACAGCATTTTAAAATAACCAATTTCAAGTGCTATGATAGAGTACAAAGCAGGGTAAAGAGAGAGAGTTCGGTGGGGGAAAAAGAAGATAATTTATGTGGAGACATTAAGAAAATCCCTTTTGAGGAGGTAATAGTTGAGCAGATATCTGGATACTAAGTGAAATAAATGACCAGTAAAATTGTCAGTCTTCATTGAGTAATAAATAATGTGGCTTGGGAATTCCCAGGGTCCAGTGGTTAGGACTTGGCGCTTTCACTGCCAGGGCCCAGGTTCGATCCCTGGTAGGGGAACTAAGATCCCACAAGCCCCGTGGCGTGGCCAAAATCATAATCATAGTCATAATGTGGCATATTTAGTAGATGGACTAAATATGAATATGTATAATCTATTCTTGTTTTGAAGGAATGCTTTTCTACTGATTTGCTAGTTTAATTATTCTTTAACATAAAGTTTAGAAACTGCTTTGACAGAACAGAAGCCTTGTCATATACAAGAAATATCTTGCTACAGAAATAAAAAAGGTATTATCAGAAATAAAGTATTGTTTTTAATTATACACCAAGGAAGAGAGAAAAAGGAGAAAAAAATGGAATGGGAAAAGACGAAAAAAGAAAGACATGCTTTAGCCTTCTGCTTCAATCCATTTTAGCCCAATTCTACCTCATAGTAGCTGACCCCATATGATGACTTCTGCCAAATTAGAGTTATAAAAAATGGTCCTTTGTAGGTTTTATGTGTTAACTCTGTGCCAGGCACTCTGCTAAATCCTTTACATGTATCAACAAAAACATTTGATTATTTGCTTTCAGAAACTCTCTGACTTCATAATGTTGGCTGACTCTAAAAAATGGGAAGTAAAGACATGGCATTTATGAAAGGATGTTTTTGCTGCCGGGGATGATTATCTTTGTTTTGTTTATTTGCACTCTTATCTCTTGTTGAGTTTAGTTAGCAGCATTGGGAATTGAATCTTAAGGCCAGTGTTTATGAGGGGATCTGAAAATTGTCCAGTATTATTTTTCCAGCTACGTGACCTAAAATACCTCACTTAACCTTGCTAGTACTGATTTCTCTAATGTGAAAATTACATTGTTTAAATAGTTAGAACCTTAGAAACTCTCTAATATTGTTTGATCAGGATTCTGATCTTAGCTAAGGTGATCATTATGGGGTATGTGGAAAAGTGCTTATTGGTGTTTATTATTTTAAATGGAAGCAGACATATAGGAAAGTCTTAAGTATAAATACTAAAGTTCAGAAGATTAAGTAAAATTAACTTTTTTAGCCCAGCGAAACAAATCTATCTTCACAAGAAGAATCTTGAAGCTGGAATTGGCACTAATTTGGCCAACCTGATCAAATTATTTCAATTGGGTTTAAAATTTTGTTTCTTAATTTTAAAGAAAGTTTTCTCATTTTTATCTTTTTTTTTTTGTATGCACACAATGTGTATAGTTTTGGCTGGTCTGAAAAAAAAAGTGACTCCTGGGGCGGGGGGAAAAAGAATTTTAGTTCTGACTGGATTTTAATATAGGACCATTCACTAAATATTATATAATTCTGGACAATCTGGTAAGCCTTCATTCTCTATTAAATGTAATTTAAAAATTCTCACTAGCCTTTACAAATATATTTTTTAAGTAGCTCTTAATTTTTTTTAGTTAAACTAATTAGATTTACTGTTCCAAACCTTTTTACATGTATTAACATACTTACTTCTCATAACAGCTCTATGGTGTAGAATACCATTGTTATTGTCACTTAACGTCACTGAGTCTCGGTTTCTTCATTTGTAAACTTGCCCAACGTTACATAGAGTAAGAAGCTCCTCTAGGATATAAATCCAAGAGTCCACCCTCTAAATTGGTTCTATTGGTATTGACCATAGTACCGATTTAAAATACGGTTATTTAATCTCAGATGAATGGCTAATTATAACTTTATCTTAAATGTAATAAATGAGCATGTTGCTAGAAGGAGCTACTTTCAGTTACGGATTGAAAAAACTTTTTTGGTTTGATTGTAGTATGTGGAAGTAAGATGGAGTTTGAACTTACAGAGGGAAAATACTTAGATTTAACTAACTACTTTGAAAGAATAATACTAGAAACAGTTTGACATGGTGCCAGATCAGTAACACACTATACTTTTTGCCCCCTTCCAAAAAAGATTGGACTATAATGAATACTCAATTTGTATGAAAATGTGATTTGATTTTATTTTAATGTTTTAACATGGAACAATCTTGCAAATAAGGACCGTTTTTTCCCAACCTACTAACATGTTTTACCAACTGATCTTTTCCTCTTAGGTAAATAGATGCCTCCTCTTCAAATAATTTTTTTGGCAAAAATTATAATTCACTTTAATCAACTGATAAATGCTTATTTATAAGCATCTGTGTGCATAGATCTGCATGAATTATGTCAGATTGATAAAGATATCTTAGTTGAATTCCAGAAGGCTCTTGTGCTTTGAATACACAGATGATATTAATGAGGAACTAACTTATAAGAGTTAGACATTTTACTGAAGTGCTCTATCAAGGAAAGCAGTTTCCACCAAATCCTTAATTATCCGAATGTAAACACAGTAATAAAAGAGTTTTGTTGCTAAGTCTGTCTTTTGTAGGCAATTATTTTCTTATCAGTGGATTAGTGTGTTGTGGGGAGAAGCTAAATGCCAATATAGAGTTGCTAGCAGTAGTTTAATTAGGTTCCTTTATAAGTGATTCAAGCACTAGAGCTGTATTTTCTGTAAATTTAAATTTGCTATTAATCTCTTGGGAAGATTATCCATTCTGGGTTTGAAGGTTTTTCCTGTGCTAGAGAAACATTTAAAACAGTTTTGTTCATTGTGTTGTGTATTGATCCTCTTAGTTATTTGTGCACAGAACAAATGAGTGAGAACAGTTTTGATTTAGAATGCTGACATGAGGGTAACATTCATATTGGTTAACCCTTAGCCATAATAGGGTGTATTATGTGCTAAGCACTGTGCTGAACACTTGACTTTCCCTGCTGCTCAGGGCTATTGGAGGATGGGCCCCAGAAGAAGACTGACAGAAACTGGCATTGATCTCTCACTCATGATTACTTTATCATTTCTATAATAAAGTGTATAGCATACTATTAGAATGTACTGTGTTTGTGACACCAGTAGTGGCAGATTATCTTTTCATCTGTGCTGTGATTAGGCTTTCTTGGTGGAGGAGTCAAGTGTTCTCCAGAGTCTGGAGCACACTGGGGCTGAGTTTCATGAAATGTATTTCAAACAACATAGTTGTGCAAGGTGTTGATACATGTTAAATAGAAAAAAAGAGATTTCTAGTTAAAAAGTGGGTAATACTTGTTTAGAATTTGTTCAACCATCCTCTTTACCATAACACTTCTCAGAACTGTTAATGTGCTGATGTGCATTATGAATCTCTATATGAGGATGATACAGCATCTGGTCTTTCTCACCTCTCCCCTCCTTTTTTTTTTTTTAAAAAAAAAAAACTCTTCAAAGAGAATGTTTTTGGGCAGGAAACATTTTGGGAAAAGGTGTTCCAGACCAGAGTTTCTCAGCCTTAGCTCTGTGGACATTTGGGATCAGACATTTCTTTGTTTGGGGGCCGTCCTGTGTCAGTGAAGGACGTTTATCAGCATTGCCCCCACCCAGCTGTGACAATGAAAAATGTCCCCCAGGGGCAAAATCTAGTTAAGAACTATTGCTCTAGATTAATATTGCAGTATTCCAGGAAATTATAGGATACATTAGCAATTTCTATCTGAAAGTTTCCTTTTAATGTGGAAGAAATAATAGTCTAGAAAGTGGAAGCACAGGTAGAGAAGGTTCAGTATATTCTGCTGTAATAAACGTTCTGGATCCACTTTGTACCCTGGCCTGATTTTCTTTTCTTTTCTTTTTTTAACATCTTTATTGCAGTATAATTGCTTTACAATGGTGTGTTAGTTTCTGCCTTATAACAAAATGAATCAGCTATACATATACATATATACCCACATCTCCTCCCCCTTGCATCTCCCTGTCTCCCTCCCACCCTCCCTATCCCACTCCTCTAGGTGGTCACAAAGCACTGAGCTGATTTCCCTGTGCTGTGTGTGGCTGCTTCCCACTAGCTATCTGTTTTACATTTGGTAGTGTATATATGTCCATGCCACTCTCTCACTTTGTCCCAGCTTACCCTTCCCCCTCCCCATGTCCTCAAGTCCATTCCCTGGCCTGATTTTCTAATAATTATTATGTGGAGAATTTACTGCAAAAAATAATTTCAAACTTTGCAGAATATTATATGGTAGAGACTAAAAGTATATTTTCCATTAAAACACTAGCCAGATATTTAAATTGAACTGCATATGATGATACTGCACTTTTCTAAAATCCATTTTTTCTTTTTTTATACAGGGCTATTTTCTTCTTTTTGAGTCCATGTTAGATTCTGTCCTTTATGCAAAGAACAAATACTTGGCAAAAGGAGGATCGGGTGAGTATAAAATTCTAGTTTTAGTAATCTAATTTTAGTCTAGCAGAACCAAATGAACCTTTGGATTTCAAATAAACTATGCATGACTGAGAAAGTTCCCAATAGAGATGAAAGACATTTCCATCAGAGGAAGATTTAAGACATTTGTTTAGTGTACCGTTGATAGTAGAACATTATATAAGATATGCAGAACTCTTAAGTTAATGGTATTCTCATGAACACTTTTAATAAAAATACTAAGGACTAGATTTGGAAGCTTTTTGATATTCAAATAAAAATCTAACAGAGACTCTTTGATTTTTAATCTTTGTGACATTTAGGGTTTTTTTGTTTCTGTTTTTTCCCAAAAGAATGTTTCATACTAGGTTGGAGATCATTCACTTTGGTAGCAAATATTCCATGACTTCATTGAATGTATAAACCTGGCTTCTTTGTAATTTAACAAGAGCATTTAAGTAGTGAGTGGTTTCTACTAAGTTTTTAAACCACAGTATACCCAATCAGTATTTTTCAATAGATCCTAATAAATTTGGAAGGCTTCCTTTTCATGGCCATGGTGAACTTTTAATCATATTAGCTCTGCGTACTCAAAGTGAGATTGTGTTTTTACAGGCTTTCTGCTATGAACAGTTGTATACAAATAAATGTTCTCAGGGATTATGTTTTACTCATCTTTGGCTCTTCACTGAGCTCCACAGCTTCTGGAACATAGATAGAACATCATACATGTTTTTTGCATTGAATCATTAAAACTGAATTGAATAGCATGTCTCCCTTCATTCACCTTTCCCTGTACCTTCCCTTTCTCAAAGCTTCAGAACCAGTAAATCATTTCCATGGTCAGAGTACAGTTGATAAAACTGTTATATAAAAGTGGGTGAAAAGGAGGATACATTTTGAACTGGTGACATAAAGCACTTGACCATACTTATGCCTCCTGCCCATCCATGTTCGATGAAATTACTTTGGCAGTAAAAATCAGTAAGGCCAAAACATAAAGCATAGAGAAAATTCTCCAGTACAGTTGAGTTCTTTTTATAATATCATTTAAATAGATTGCCTTTGTTTTTCAAAATGCTCTCATTTTATCACTGTATTTCCTGCAACCATTTCAAGATACGCTTCTGATCTCTGACGTGAACGTGGCTAGAATTTTTAGATATATTTTACCCTGCAACAATTAGCTGTATCTCTCAATAATTGCAGTGATTGTTTTTTAAAGACAACTACACTTAATGACTAAAAACTAATATTATCTAGCATTTGTTGATTGTGCAATAGTTGCCAAATAATACGCTGTACCTTTATCTTATTACATGTAATCCTCACGTGTTGTAATCCTCACAACAGCCCTGTGAGACTTTAGAAACATAGGTGTCCTGGATGGTACATATTAAGTGTCCAAGTCTTGAATTTTTTTTTTTTCTAAACTCAGATCTGCCAGACTCCAGTATTCTTGTTCTTTTCAGTATCCCTTGTTGTTTCTTTACTAAAGTGCATTTTATTGAATCTAATTCTTGCCTTGAAGTTGTTCTAGGGAAGATTCAGAAAACTGTTTCCATACTTCCCTGAGTGGTGTTCATTGATCTTACTGAAGGACTGACAGCAACTTAATACATTTAAATTGAATTCTTGATGAAATTCATTAAGAACTTACAGCCATGTGAATAATGAGGTTATAGCTGAAACAGTGGCAGAGCTATTTCCCATCATCAAAGGGATAAAGTGGAGGCTTTATTCTAGCTCTTTCCATATTTTTATATAACTGCTGTTAGCACTAAGATAATCTGGAAGTATATTGAAGAGAGGTCAGCATATAACTTCATAAGCAGTGCTGTTGAATGTTACTTGTTAAAAGAATCAAGAGTAGTAGGAAAAGTCAGAAATGAGTAACATGAAGTGGTTTAGCCTATTTTGTGTATTTGTGTATGCCTTGATGAATAAATATCATCTAGATGCTCATTCTTTTATTGTAAACAAAGTTTTCTTTCATGTTTTTCTGAAGGAAAGATTTATTAAGCAATTAGCAGTGTCAAGGTTTTAGAAAGAATGATTGAATTATGAGAGAGGGAGACTATTGGAGACCATATAAGCATGAAGGGACCACAGTTTATTTTTACATGAATCCAGGTTCAGTTTATGTCTCACTTTATATTTAATGGCATGGAGTAAAGCCTTTATAAAAGACAGTCAGCCAATAACTTGAGTATTCATGCTCCTTATCACCAGGCAGTTCCACAGTACTTTAGAGGTACTCATTTACTACTGTTATCACTAATAAAAATAAAGCTTTGTGGGGATTCCCTGGCAGTCCAGTGGTTAGGACTCTGTGCTTTCACTGCTGTGAGCCCAGGTTTGATCCCTAGTCAGGGAACTAAGATCCCACAAGCCATGCGGTGCGGCCAAATAAAAAAAATTTTTTTAAGTTTTGTAAAGTTAGTGAAAGTGGATTTACTATTTTCTTCTATTATTAGCTAAGACTTACTAATTGTATATCAGAAATTGTTGTGTTTTACATTCAGCCAACCAAGAGATCAGGAGTAAAACCAAGAAAATGTTAGGTTGAGATCAATGCATAATTTTACAAGGAATTAAGATGAAAACCAATGTATATTTTAGGATGACAGCATAGAATGTAAATGCTTTATACCCTAAAAGTGTCAAATACCACATCTCACAAAAATTGTAAAGGGAATGCAGGAGGTAGGTGGGAAAGTGTGTGTACTTAAATGGATTTATCTTTTTTTTTTTTTTTTTTTTTGCGGTACGCGGTCCTCTTACCGTTGTGGCCTCTCCCATTGCGGAGCACAGGCTCTGGACGCGCAGGCTCAGCGGCCATGGCTCATAGGCCTAGCCGCTCCGCAGCATGTGGGATCTTCCCGGACCGGGGCATGAACCCGTGTCCCCTGCATCGGCAGGCAGACTCTCAACCACTGTGCCACCAGGGAAGCCCAGATTTATCTTTAATAGGAATTTATGGGATATCATTTAAAGCTGACAACTCAAGTAGTAGCATTAGAGCACATTTAGCACTACAGAGGTAATATTAAAATGATACTGTTGATTAAAATTGAATGGTGAGGCTTGTGGTCATTGATCCTGTCTGTATCATGATTGTAGTGGTGATTGTGTAACTCTATGTTATCAAATCACATAGGATTATACATCAAAAAGGACAGAGAGTGAGTTTTACTGCGTGTAAATTTTACCTCAATAGAGATGACTTAAAAAAAAAAAAAATGAGGGCTTCCCTGGTGGCGCAGGGGACACGGGTTCAAGCCCTGCTCCGGGAAGATCCCACATGCTGCGGAGCACCTGGGTCTGTGCACCACGACTACTGAGCCTGAGCTCTAGAGCCCATGAGCCACAACTACTGAGCCCACGAGCCACAACTTCTGAGCTGACGTGCCACAACTGCTGAAGCCCACGCACCTGGAGCCCGTGCTCCAAAACAGGAGAGGCCACTGCAATGAGAAGCCCATGCACTGCAACAAAGAATAGCCCCCTCTCGCCACAACTAGAGAAAGCCCATGCACAGCAACGAAGACCCAACACCGCCAAAAATAAATTAATTAATTAAAAAAAAAATGAAGCAGCATCTTCCACCTCCTTCAGGTCAAATGAATTATGACATAATTTGATTTCTAGCTATTTTGAAAAATATATTAAAACTCTGTACTAACTACCTACTTCTGTAATTGTTGTTAGTATTATCATTGCATCTCTTTTTGTAATTAAAAAAGTAATTGGGTGATTAAGAAGAGGAAAGGAGGGCTTCCCTGGTGGCGCAGTGGTTGAGAGTCCGCCTGCCGATGCAGGGGACGCGGGTTCGTGCCCCGGTCCGGGAAGATCCCACATGCCATGGAGCATCTGAGCCCGTGAGCCGTGGCCGCTGAGCCTACGCGACCGGAGCCTGTGCTCCGCAACGGGAGAGGCCACAACAGTGAGAGGCCCGCATACCGCAAAAAAAAAAAAAAAAAAGAAGAGGAAAGGAAAGGGAAAAACAAGGAAATATACTAACTTTATCATTACTCGCAATAGGAGATTAGTAAATAATGTTAAAAATAGACAACTAAAGATATTCTGTAAGGTTGTAATTATAAAGTTAGCTACTAGAACAAAAAGGCAAACTTTGTAAATTAAAGAATTAATACTTAGGAAAAAGCAAAAAGACCATGTAGTTGAACTACTTAAAAAACAAAATAAAACAAAAACTACAGATACAGAATAATATAAAATGGTAGAGTTGTGAACAAGCAAAAGTTCTCATATCAATAATGTAAATGGACTAAATTCATTTATTAAATGAAAAAGAATTTCAGATCGGATCATAAGAGAAAACCCAATTCTGTGCACTATATAGTGACACACCTAAAACAAAATTATATAGAAAAGTTAAACTTGGGTTAAAAAAGATACTCAGGCAAATAGAAAAAAAGTCATGATATTGATACCAAACAAAAGGGAATTTGGGCAAAATATTATATAATTATATGAATAGGGCTTAGCATTAAGGAGCAAAATCATGCCCATCTTCATAGCTACTGAAAAGGTTTTTTGTTTTGTTTTGTTTTTTGTGGTACGCGGGCCTCTCACTGTTGTGGCCTCTCCCGTTGCGGAGCACAGGCTCCAGATGCGCAGGCTCAGCGGCCATGGCTCATGGGCCTAGCCGCTCCGCGGCATGTGGGATCTTCCCGGACCGGGGCACGAACCCGCGTCCCCTGCATCGGCAGGTGGACTCTCAACCACTGCGCCACTATGGAAGCCCTGAAAAGGTTTTTATATATAAAATGAATAATCTGAAAGTTTAAGAATGGAATACTTACCTAGTTAGTTTCCAAGAATCTCCCCACAAAATATCTACTAATTACAAAGAGAAATGAGTAAATTTCCATGTAGAAGCCTAGCAGACTCCACTTTAGTCAAGTAATCAGGGTTGACATCGTCCAGAATTGGACCAATTGAAATTGTAGGAGCACAAAGAAATAATTCGTTGCTTT